CTTTCGAACATTGAATTCGTAAAATAGGGTTGTGCACGATAATTTATCAAGCTACCACACTTTCAACCCACAAAACTCGTGTAATGGTAGGCAAATAAGACAGACAAATAAGACTTAAAAAAGAGAAGAAATTGTACTCGCATGAAAGTTACAAAATTTGTAAGTTTGTAAAGGTGTCATTGAAAATGTCATCAATGATTTGTCCATCAAATTATTTGGACCTAGCTTGCGATGGAATGGGCCATCGACGTCACAGTGCCCAGATACAAGGATGGTAACGGGACGGGTTTAGAGTGAATTTTCTTAAATTCCGCTCCGCCCCTTTTAATTTTTGTCAAATTCATGCCCGCTTCGAGACCCGTGACGGGTTGGATTTTCATGTCTAATCCCGCCTCGTTGGGAAATACTGTACCCCCGTGCCCGCCCCGCTAACAAATTTGTTTCTCTCACTTTTTGGAACTTAAGCTCCTGCTATATATGGAAAGACTAGGAATGGCACAACATAAATGAAATTATGTATCCTAACAAAAATAAAAAAAATAATACGCACATAACATAATTCAGAGAACATAATAAATAAAAATTTAATACAACCAAATCACAAGAAATTCTAAGCTCCAACTTTTAACATAACCAAAACAAAAACAAATTTAATACCAAGTTTACATCCCAAATTATGATTGTAAGAGATGGGTAACTGGGTAAGTCGCTAAAATAAATTATATATATATATATGCTTAGCAGGGCGGGGCCCCTAGGATATGTATACTGAACCCTTACCCGCCCCGTGACTCTCGACGGGTACAAAATTTGTATTCATGCCCGCTCCAACGGTATAAAAAGTATTCCCATATCCGTTATTAACAGGGCTGGACGGGACGGGGCCCCAGCTGGGCGGTAAAAATTGACATCCCTACCCAGATAATCATGTGCTTTGTAACATTGGGCTTGTAAGCGTTAAACAGTCGCATTGATTGTGAAGTGCTTAAAAATGGAAACCATGCCTTTGTCACTTTTGGACCTCATGACTTATTAGCCCAATTACTGGCCCAAATCTAGTCTGGCTACTTCAAGGGCGGTAAGCCCTTGCCTTGACAAATATACCTTGTCCAACTGTGTCCACTTTGCTTAGTTCATGTTCTTCTGAAAATTGCCTAAATAAAAGTGTAATTGAAATGTTCAATATCTAGATGAAAACCTCCAAATTTAGCTATTTTTGGCTAGAATTATTATTATTATTATTTATTTATTATGGTACGACCTCTCCTTTAGGAAGGTGAGCTTGTACACGTTGAGCTATTACTCACAGGTGTGAGACTTGGGTGGGACTAACCCGAGTAACCCAATTCCCGCCCAAAAATTTTACAAAAGTGGGTAAAGTACTTGAGATTGTGGAATGGGACTCTGGATTTAAACTTTACTACTCTAGAGCCCGAATTTATTTTGAAAGGGATTTGGGTAAAGGATTTAGTAACCTGAAAAATCCAAAGTACCCGAAATATAAAAATAGTTTATAACTAACTTTTATATTTAAAATTAAATTATTTATATTATTATCAATCATTGATTCATCATATGAGATCGCATTATTTGTTGGGGAATTTATACGTAAATTACAAGACTAATAATATAACCCATCAAAGTTATATTCATACAAAATGAATATAAACATAATTTTGTATGAATATAAATTAACATATTACAATGAGATGATATTACACATAATTTGGTTGATTTTTAATACACCTTCATGTGAAAATAACATTTTGTTTTATTTTAATAGTGTTTATTTGTTATTACTTTATTAAAATTTGGGATGAATTGATAAACTCAGAAATCAATGAAACCATGCGGTATGGCATGGGCTGAGATGCGATAGATTTCTTGAGACTTGAGCTTGGCGTAAGCTAATATGTTAAAACCTTGAGTTTGGCGTGGGATAACTCCTCGAGTACTTGCATTTCATGAGCCATTTGTGGCCAATTCAGTCTTAGTTAAAGCAATAATCGTAATTTCTTAATAATTTAAATATCTAAAATTTACGATATAGCAATGTGTCTAAATGACATCAATGAGCTATGACATCAGTGAGCTATTAGTTCAACGGTATAACCTCTCATCAAGTGAGGGGTTCGAGAGCTATATAGTTAAAGCATCTTTAGAAAAGTGGAGATATCTTACCCTAAGAGATTGGTCAGATTGGATCAAACTTTTTTTTTTTTGTCTTCCACCCAATTATGAACGGATGAACACATGAATTATGACACGCTCCATCCTCCTTATTTATTTCCTCTCTTTTTATTCTTCCCAACCCAACAAGACAAAACTCCTTCCATCATTTCCTCTCTTTCATTCCAACCAAACATTACCTTAAATTCAAGGCATAAACGACAAAGTATGAAGTAACAACTCATGTTTTTGTATACAGTTTCGTCAAGCATTCAATCTCAGATGACTATCCAAATACTTTCAATGCTATCTTTTCGATCTATACATATACATACAATACAAACAATCAACATTGACATAAAAGCCCTCACCCACTCTCACTGATGTTACTTGTTGATGATCAAAACACCCCCACCCAACTCACCAAAATCTTATGTGGCACGAAACTTCTCCTACAAAGCTCATAATTGTCGACCGCCACTTGGCACCAATAATTGGTCGAAACGCGTCTTCTTGACCACCCAGAGGGAGAGAGAGAGAGAGAGTAAAGAATATTGTAATAATGGCCGTTCGAGACAAATTATCAAGTCATTTTCGCAGGAGTACCTTTCCTCTCTCCTTAATCCTCGACTTTGGCTCAACAATTTTTTTTTTTTTTTTTTCCCTACACGCAAGAACTAATTAGGAATCACGAGACAGTGCCTACTGATTTATTTAGTTTTGTCAAAAGTGATGTTGCAGACAGCTTTTGGATATTTTCACATTCCAGATATTTCTAAGCAATTAAATATAAATGAATTGTGACGGAGGGATGATTGATACGTTTAAATACATTCTCTTTATAGGTATGTAAAATTGTGACGTGAAGATTACGGGTGTGTTTTAATACATTTTATTCGTAGGTATATAAAAGTAAGAGTAATAAGACGAAGTCGGTACATGAAGAATTTTGTGTTTGGCTCTCTCTCTTTCTCTGAGATTGAAAAATCGAACTTAAGCAATAAGTGTGATTTGTGCGTATTTAACTCTTTATAAACTCCGTGAAGTCACACATGTGCACTCGACTAGCGCTTTTGTTTCTTCATGCTTACTACCAGCATAGGGAACCCTTAAAGAGGGACACACGCCCTTAAAAAGGGTACCATTTTATGAGTAGTAAAACCGATAGTAATCATAATGTTTAAAGTTAAAGTAGGACCTTAATACATGGGATGGAAAAAAAAAAATCTGTGTGTGTGTGTGAGAGAGAGACAGAGAGTAGTTATTCAAAGTGATGCCTTTTTATTATTATTAGTATTTCTTATTTGTAAAATAAGAGCAGCCTCTTAGGAATTAGGCGTGCTATGAGTCCACAAGAGAACAAGAGACTAAAAGCAACCTTTCAAAAATAAAAATAAAAAACTAAAAGCAAATTCCATATGAGAAAAAGTTAACAGAGAGATACAATTAAATATCATGATGAATGGTCGGAAACATATATAACGGAGAGATACAATTAAATATCATGAGATACAATGTAGATATTCTCAAGCATATATATATATATAAAAGAAAGGGTAGCAGCCGTACCATGCATATAGACAATAGATGCATGACGATGATGTTCAAGGCAGGACAAGATTGGATGAACAAGGCCCAATAATATGGAACTCCATGTCTTTTTACAAGAGTAATTAAAAATGCAAATTGAGTAATGATTTTTAAACTGATAGGGCCAAAACAACTCGAGACCCTTGGATGCCCATGTGAATTGACCGTTGATTTAAAAAATTATTACATTATTTGAGATTTTAGTCAATCACAATTTAACGTGCAAACAAATTATACGTAGAAACAAAATATACGACTCCAGCTGTGATTCCATGGCCATTTAGAGTCTGGGTGGACCCCACACTCTCTTCTCGTCTATCATCACTATGCTATTAAATCCAAGGAGAGTTAAGTTCATGTATAGTTTCAAAACCCATAGCACAACTATAAATTAAACACGTTGTTTCTGGTATGGACGCACCCCCCATCTGATGATGAGACATACACATGAGTCAATGAGCTGTGGGGGCACATTCACATGACTAAGTAACATGGATACAAAAAGAAGAAGATAGCTTTGGGAGGCAGAAGTTATTACAATTTCTTAGTTAAAAATATATATATATGTTCAGTGGCTGTGCTTGACAGCAAAAAAATGGAAATATCTTTGTCCCACAACAGTCCTTTGATTGGCCCAAAGTGTTGAAATTTTCTTCATCCTTATTATTTAAGTAACGATCCAAATTTTCTTCTCCTTTTGTCACTTTCCTTATCCCCTCTCTCTCAACCGAAAAGGTTAAGAGTTCGAGTATCTGAGGGGCATGTTATGGGCAGCGTTGTGTTTGTTTTTAACCTTTCGTAATGAAACAATAAAAAAATAAAAATCTGCTTTAACTTCTAATAAAAAAAATTAATTAAAAAAAATTAAAAATCTGTTTGTGATAAAGTTTCTGAAACTGGAGAATCATTTTTCACTCTTCCCAGAAAAACAAACATCCCCTCATGTTTCATGAGATTAGAGACAGTGCATGTGTGTAGGTGTTTGTTGTTTGTTTTTCCTTCTAGTACTACCGGGTGGCCTCTTCTGGACAGAGAAATTAATTTGACAAAATTAGAAAGAAACAAAAATAAATAAGATAGAGATGTCCACAGGGATATAGGATAAGAGAGAGAGTGTCACACGATACCTAATCCCATCAGCTTGACTTAACCATAAACCAAAAATCCCAATTACTTGAAAGCAACCATACGAGAGAGAGACTTCTTAAATTGCTTCCCCATTTATCTTATTAAACCCCACCCTCTCCGGCAAGGTTAATACAATATATATACATACATACATATATATATATATATATGTCCTTTAACAACTTAGAACTCAATATGATGGAAGTAGGAGAGACTTCTCCATCACCACTACCATCAATAGCCACCAAAACTGAGCCTGTCACCAGCAGTCCCGAGCGGCAACCAATTATTCCGAAGAAAAAGAAGAAGATTAAGAATGGTAGAAGGTTTAGTAATGAGCAGATAAGGTCTCTGGAGTCCGTTTTCAAGTCGGAAGCAAAGCTTGAGGCGAAGAAGAAGGTGCAGGTGGCAAGAGAGCTCGGTCTGCAACCTCGCCAAGTAGGCATATGGTTCCAGAACAGAAGAGCAAGGTTGAAGTCGAAGCAAATAGAGCACGAGTACAGAATACTCAAAGCCAATTACGATACTCTAAATTCTCAATTCGAGTCCTTGAAGACAGAGAAGCAGTCCTTGCTCATACAGGTACTCCTCTTCTTCTTCTTTTAATATGCATGTTTTCGTAGAAGCGGAATGAAAACATAAGATTCATGTCCCGTGTTACTGTTTATTTAAACAGAGTAAACATCTTATTTTCTTCTGAACATGCAGTTGCAGAAGCTAAGTGATCTGTTCAGAAAATCTCGAAATGGAGGCGAGGAGGGAAGCAAATATTTGGGAGGAAATAGTGTAGATATTGGCTCGGATGATGGAGATCATGCTTATTGTGAGATCAAAAGAAATCCAAGCTATTTAAATGAAGGATTGGACGAAGAAATGCTAATGTGTTCGAACGATGATGAGAGAGGAGAGGCTGAGTACTTTGTGAAGGAAGAAGAAGTAGTACTACCAGAACTTCTTCTAAACAATATGAGCGATCAAGCAAATTGTTCCTCGGCAACACCTGAAAAATGGTGCAGTTTTGATGGTACTTCAGGTGGCCTTTTTGATCACTCATGTGGGAGCAACTCAAATTGGTGGGACTTGTGGGCTTGACAGATGCACTCCAACTTCCAAGGCTTTAATTATTTGCTCAAGACCTTTCCCAATTAACCTCAGATAGATTCAATGTATTTCACTAATTTAGATTGTGTATATGTATATATGATAGAAAAGAGAGAAACAACAAATGATCATAAATAAATAAAAAAGGTTAGGAGAACTTGGGAAAGAGCAGCATTATTTATATATGTCAGTTCATATGCATGTGCTTCGGCAGCAAGATTGCAAGATCATGAGTTTGTACATGTATTACACCTAGCATTAAGTGCATAGAGAATGTATATGAATTAATGCTCTGAATTTAGCCAGCAGTTTGAATTATCGTCATGTGTTTGTTTTAAGCTTCAAATTCTTCTTTTGAGCTAGTTAATTACAACCAAACCAAGCTTGGTGGAGTACAACTCATGTTAGGAGAATACAATCCAAGGGGTTAGCTTATATGGGTAAGTCACCTCTAATGTCTTGAGAAGTATCAGGGTGAACACAATCCAAGGGGTTGACTTATATGTGTAAGTCACCTCTAATGTCTTAGGAAGTAGCAGATTTATGGTTCGATTTCTCTTGGTGTAGATCCGAACTAAAACTCATTTGGCTTGTTGAGCTCGAACTGATGCTCAAGCACAGTGTTTCTATTTATTAAAAAAAAAAAAAAAAAAAAAAAAAAAAAAAAAAAAAAAAAAAGGCAAAATTAGTTAAAAATCTAATAAAGAGTCAACAGCCATAAGGATCCTTTTTGGATCCATCGATCATCCTCATAACTTTTATACGGAGTATAAGTTTTGAAAAACACTGGCCTCAAGAGATTCTTATTGAACTTTCACCTGAAATTGCAAGGTATGAACTCAACATATATATTGAAATTGCATATTTGAAAGCTGTGTTAATAATTGTAGCCCTGTAAGTTTTAGAAGTTTATAGAGCTTAACATATTATCTAAGGAGTTATAAAATCTAGGTAGATTTCGACTTTAAAAACATGACATGTGAAAAATATGTATACAAACTAAATGGAGAAAATGCTATAAGATTGTTGTTCTAAAATAAATAAACTAGATCGAGAAGATAAATAGGAAAGTGAATGTAGACTATAAATACCTTGAGTAGTTGCCCATCAAAACCAAGTTAACAAGTTTAGCATTCCAATATCCAAATCCTTCAAGACTGAGACCAAGTGCTACCCGCCATTAAATGAATTTTCTTCCGAAGTGTTATACGTTTCTTTGTAGTCATGTATAAATCATAAATTATACCGTCTTCTTTTATTGGAGTCAAATGTGTACTTTTCTCCTTAAATTAACAAAGAGTGGAATCCCACTGAATATTATCAGGTATATCCTGTACATGTAAATATATAAATTCAATTGTATAACATTATTTATTTAAATTCTATTTTGTAAACCATTATTTATTTAACTGTACAATAAAAAAGAGAACGTAATTTGAATCAACCAAGTGCCCAAAACACCATTAGAAGTAATAAAAGCATTACTCAAAAAAAAGTGGCCAAAATTACAAGGAAACACAGTTACCACATCTTGGCTACGAAATATTTTCTCTTCACTAGATTATTTAATTTAAAAATAGTGGCCAAAATTATTTAATTCAAATGCTAAGTCCCGGGCCCTTCACTAGATTTGAATTGGTGATACTATCTCTGGGCCCGAAATATGCCTTCCTTCAATTTTGCAACACCATTAACTAAAACGAAAATTATTTTGAAAGTCAAAAATTTAGCCAATTTTTCAATGCAGGAGCGAAGATGAAACTACGAAATTCACATGAATATGTCTTTATATGCTTTTATGACATTTACTCTTAACTATAGATCCGCCCATTCTCTTGATGAATTTACTCTTACCTATAAGATTGATTGTAACTACTCATATTCCAATTTGTTAATCATTTATTTAAATTAGGCCCTGTTTGTTAATATTATTGTTGTTTATCGATTAGGCCAATTTTACAAAACCAAAACTACAATTATGACTTTTTTTTTCTACTTTTTTTTTTTTTTTTTTTCAGTATATAAAAAACAGAGAGTTAAGAAACAAAATAAACATCATTCACTATGGCTTTAGATAAATAAGAGGGTCATTTATTTCACTAAAGATCAATAAGTTTTTTACGAGCACCCCATTTGCTAAGGTTGTGAGCAATCTTGTTAGAGGATCTAGGAATTGAATGAAAAGAGAGAGAGTTGGGTGTTTATATATTTATATACACACACAAAGGTAGTAAGGTAGTAGACTTTAAGTCTATAAAGATCGATGGGCTACCAAACTTTGATCAATAGCCACAAAACTTCTATATAAATCTAAATCTTCATTCTTGCATTTTTTTAGTGGGTCTTCATAATGAATATCTTAAAATATTACTTAAGTAATGAGTACCTTTCAAAAAAAAAAATTTGATTGGAGTAGTAATTTGTTACCTGTAAGCCATTATATTATTATTTTGAAACTTATGTTAATTGTTTAAAAGTAGTTTAAAGTTAACAAACATGGTTTTTGTTTATTATTTTTAAAATAAGACAAATATTTTTATATTATCAAATAATATATTTATTTATCCATAAACTAAAATTACACATAAACACTTTTTATATTTAAACTTAAATGATAAACAATAAACAAAATCCGTTAACAAAGATTTGATACGCATATATTTATCATTACATGACTTACATGTTCTCTTATAAGGTTAGAATCATTTTCTTAAACGTAGTGTGTGGTAGAAATTTTAACTCCATATGTATTAGTTTTTTAAAAACAGGATTTGCATGCATAAAGCAAATAATATTGATTTAAGTAATTTTTGATATTACAAAGAAGAAAATTCATAAATACTGAATCGTAAGTTGAGTTGATTCAAACCTTACGAAGTTTATTATAAATTTGAATTTTTATATGAGGAAAATATTATTGGCCTTCCACTCGGTAACATTGGACTTTATTTGGGTTTTTTTTTTTTGTCCCCTTAAATACAATGACGCAGTTGTACATTTCTCAAATATATAATGGAAAAAAAAACGCTAGACTTTGTGTCATTTTATTAATTCACAAATCAAGTGGAAACGTAAATGGTAATATTTAATTAAGTGCTTAAGTCAAAATATATCAATAAGTGATTGTTTAATTAAGCGTGTTGATAACACAACTTAAATATGCATATAAGTTATATTTTTTAAAAAAAATTGAAATTGTAAGTGAAAATGACTTCATGAATGCCTCCACTATTTATATTGATACATATGAGTCTATATAAGCATGGCAGAGTCACTTGTAGACCAATTGGGAAACTCAATTTTTTTTTTTTTTAATTAACATTTTATAGTTAAATTTTCCTTTATTTGTAATTTTAAAACTCACATTTTATGGATAAAAATTTTCCTTTATTCATAAAATGCTCCCTTCTCTCTCTCTCCAAAAAAAAAAAAAAAAAAAAAAAAATAAGATGTCTTAATTAAAAGTCTGAAATTTAAAATCTAATCATTCTCTTTATCAAATAAAATCAAGAAAAAGTGGAAGAACAGTAGTGGGAGGAAAAGGAGAAGTAAAGAACAAGAAACACATTCCAACATCTTACTCATGATCACGTATATCAAATTTTAAATTTTCTAAGTTTTTAGGGTTAAGATCTTTTATTGTGATCAACTTCAAATATATCAATAGATGAATAGTTGATGGTTGTGAATATCGATGATTATTATTTACGATTTTTTTTTTTTTTAATTGATACTGAAACATCCTCTTCAATGAATTATTTGTGAGAAGTCCATCCTCTTCAATGAAGTGAAAAGGGAAACAAGTTTCTAGTGACTAAACCTAAATGACACTGTTTTATAATTACCATAAATTTTTTTGTAAAAAAAATAGTCATCAATCCATTAATTACTATTAAATTATGAAAGCTCCCTAAATGATTAACACAAGGTGTTTAAAGATTCAGCTCTTGTAGTACAACAATTGTTACTCTGGACACCTTTTACTTGTTAAAAGAAGCACGAAGTTCATGAAAATCTCGAAAGGAGGCGAGGAGGGAAGCAAATATTTGGGAGGAAATAACATAGATATTGGGTCGGATTATGGAGATCATGCTTATCGTGAGATCAAAAGAGATCCATGATAATGAGTTTGTACATGTATTATATCTTGCATTAAGTGCATAGAGAATGTATATGAATGCTTTGAAATTATTCAGCAGTTTGAATTATCATAATGTGTTTTAAGCTTCAAATTCATCTTTTGAACTAGCTATGACCAAATCAAGTTTGGCGCAGTACAATTCATGTTGGGATCAACGAAAGGCTGGTGAACGCAATCAAGGATTTGGTCAAATGGGTAAGTCATATGGCTTTAGTGCTTCACGAAGCATCAAGTTCGACTCCTTTTGTTGTAGACTTGAACCCAACTGGTTTATCTTGTTGAGCTCAAGCCGATGATCAAGTCTAAGAGTTTTTGTTTTTTGAGATTAAAAAAAAAAGGTGTAAAATTAGTTAAAAATCAATCTAAGAGTCAACTTCATGAGCCATAAAGATCCATTTTGGGTCGATTTATCATCCTCGTAATTTTTATACATGTTCTCAAGAACACTGGCCTCAAGAGATTCTTATTGAATTTTCAACTAAATTTGCAAGTTAAGAACTTAACATATTGAAAAGTTGCATATTTGAAAGCTGTCCGTTAAGAATTGATGCACATTTAGAAATTTATAGAGGAAACTAAACATATTATATGAGTAGTAGTAAAATCTAGATGCATTTGGACTTTAATTCTAAAATAGTCTAGAGAAGGTAAATAAGACGGTGAATGTGGGTTATAAATACCTTGAGTTACTAATCCATCAAAACCAAGCTAAGTTAAGCAATTTTCTTCCCAAGTGTTCTCATATCTTTGTATACAACTATCTATGTTGTCATGTATTACCCATAAATGTTGTAAGGAAAATATACGCTATAGAAGATAGTATTTTTGTTTTTTTTTTATTTTTGCCCAATTCTTTATTTGAGTCATTTCAAATTGATTAGAGGCATACGTCTCTTCTAAATTTTTAATATACTTTATATTTATCAAAAATATAAAATAGTATCAGTGTGAAAACCAATTTGAAGATGGTATTAGTACACATGCATATAGTATCTTATTTAAGTCTACTGGAACATCATTTGAATCCACAAGTACCCAAAACACAATTAGAACTAATAAAAGCATTACTAAAAAAAATTGACAATAGCCAAAATGACAAGGAAAGGTAAACACTCACCATTGGGGCAAAGGAGGGAGACTGGGGCTACATATAGGCTGGGTCTATTTTAAAGTCGCT